CCTTTCTCCTCTGCCCCAGGTACCCCTCCAGCCTCCAGCTCTTTTCTCAGAGTCGTCTCCCTGGGCCCTGGGACGCCAGCAGAGCTGGGAAACGCATGAAGCTGCCCAGACCAGAGACCTGGGAGCGGCTGCTGAGCCTTCAGGGGAACAGAGCTTCAGTGTGGGAGGAGCTCATCGGTGGGTGACCCTGGCCCCCGGGTCCCTTCCTGTCTGTCCCTTCTTGCGTCCGCATGGGAGACCCTGATAGCCCTACGGCTCTCTTGGTTGGCAGCTGCACCACTGCAGGTGATTGGACCTAGAAGGCCCCTGGGTCACCGTGCAGAGTGCGCAGCGCTGCCTGCTTGGAGCGCTACTGGCATCACCGATAGATCATGATTCCAGATGAGGCGGATGACACACATAAGTCTGAATCAGTGTGTGACGAAAGCGGTAGCTCTTGGCTTCTTGTAGGTATATCATTATCCACCTTCTGTACAAGGCCTGGCTGGCTCCTTCATGCATTAGATTCTCTCCAGAATCTTGTATTCAGGATGTGGAAGTTCTAGCTAAATAAATACAGTATATACAGGTATCAGTAATACAAACATTACGTACTACTAACAGGTAGTAATCAAATTTTTTTAGAGAAAAATTTTGATCACACTGATAAAATACTACTTAATTTCGGGAGAATCAAATTATATCTATTCGCTTTTTAAAAAAATTCTCATTTTTAGTTTATTTTTCTTTGTGGTACTGGGGATTGAGAACATCTTAGGCAAGTGCTCTCACACTGAGCTACATGGCTAGAACTTTTTTTGTTGTTTTGTTTTTGGTCTTTTTCAGACAGAGTTTCACTTTGCAGTTTAGGCTTGCCTTGAACTCACTTGGTGGTCTAGGTTGGTCTTGAGCACACAGCGATCTTTCAATCTCAGGTCCCCAGTGCCGGGATTACAGGGGTGTGCTGCCGTGCCCAGCCATCCCCAGGTTCTGGGACTTACTACACTGTCCAGGTTATTCTCAAAATTATGATCTTCCTACCTCAGCCACTTTAGTAATTGGGATGATAGGCATGTGCCACCCATGCAGCTTTTTTTTTTTTTTTTGAGACAGGGTCTTGCTGTGTCTCCCAGGCTGGCCTTGAGTTTAGCCTCCCAACAAGTTCCTCCTTTTTGACTCTGGAATGATCTTTCTGATTCCACACTAGTGTGCCCTGCCTCCATTCTATCTCCCGGTGCCTCTTCTTCCATCTCTATAAATGCAGTCAGCTGCTCTTTGCTGAACAACATGCAATTTTCAGTCTCCTGCCTGAGTCCTGCAGACTTCCTGTTTTGGGGGGTGGGAAGCAAGAGGTTGTCCGCCTTTGTCCTCCATGCGCTGCACACTGTGGTCTGTGCTCAGGACAGCCTGAGCTGCTCCACTGCGTCACTCTCTCTGCCTTCCTGATATCACTGGTGGTGTGTGTGTCAGAATGCTGGGAGCTAGAGCACACACATACACGCATGCACGCACACATACACACGCACGCACATACCTGGCAGCCTCCGTCACGCAGTGGGAACAGCTTAGGTGAGCGGGATGCAGGGCCTGGTGGCTGCTGGTGTCCCTGGATGCTTCCTTGCACACCACACTCTTTCCTCAGGCCAAGAAACTGTTGACTCTGCTGATGGACACTGAGAGTTACCCTGGCTGAGGCAAAGGCCTGCTGTCGAACCCTGTGCTCTCTAGAGGTTGTTTCTGTTGTTTTCTGTGGTCCTGGGGACTGAGCCCAGGGCCTTTTTACTCAGATACATCTCCACCACGTCCATTTTTTATTTTCTGACAGAATTTCATCAAGTTACCAGATTATCCAGGTAGGGCTCACTGTTTTGATTGTCCTGCCCCAGCCTCCCAGAATGCTGGGATGACAGGCATGTGGCACCACGCCCCTTAGTAGTTTTTTTTTTTTTTTTTAATCTTCCATGACCAGAATGATTTTTGGAATACTTCAGAATATATGTGTATGTATATAAACAAGGGCTAACTTGGGTGACACATACCTAACATACCTATAAACCCAGTACTCTGAAGACTGAAGCAGGATGATCATTGCAAGTTTGAGGCCAGCCTGGGTTACAGTGTGTTCAAGACCAGTTTGAGCTATACAGGGACAACCAGTTTCTACCACTCAGTCAGTCAATCACTACATAGTTAAGAATGAAAGGAGGTACAAAAGCACATACAAGCAATTATAAAATATAATGTAAATTGTAGTTAGATATGGACAACCCTTTGTGCAGCCTGTAGGTTTCTTTTTTTTCTTTTTTTTTTTTTTTGTACTGGGGATTGAACTTGGGACCTTGTGCTTGCCAGGCAGGTGCTTAAGCCACTGAGCTATCTCCCTAGCCTCCATAGGTTTCATTTATAGTAAAGATTTATTAAAAATATTTTGTAGGGAATGAAATCAGTAATTTCTTAATCTGATTGACAGATGTGTAATTTCTAGTATCACAGATAGTATATTTGCTGAGAAAAGTGGAGCCTACTTAGATCCCAGGGCTTAGTTTGACAAGGAGAATTGCTGCAAATTCAAGCCAGCATGGGCAACATGATGAATTCAAGGCCAGCCTGAACCATATAGCAAGAACCTACCTGCAAATATGAAAGAACAGTAACAACAAAAAATGCCCAAGTATGATATTATCTGGGTCTAAGAGTGGATAGCTATAATCCTAGCATCCAGGAGACTCAGGCAGAAAGAACACTAGGAATTGGTGTTCAGCCTACCCTCCAGAGCAAGACCCAGTCTCAACAAGAAATTATCACTTTAGGAACACATGAGTCGGTAATAGATGTAACCATTCTTTAGTTAGCAGATATCATTTGTACCACGTGTTCAACTTCCATGCAGTGTGCAGTGGCATGGTGTTGCACACTGCAGTTCCAGCTACTCAGAGAGCTGAGGTGGCGATAGGACAGCTTGAGCCCAGGAGTTAGAGATTAGCCTGGGATAATCTGAGACTCGTGAAATCCTGTCTCATCAGGAAAAGGAAACTACAGGCAGTTCTTTGACTAGGGTGTGGGTCAATGGTAGAGCAAGTGCTTAGCACACCTGCAGCCCTGGGTCAAAACATATGTATCAAAGGATTATGCTGGGAGAATATCAGGAATACTAGAAGTTTTAACGCTTCTAGCTACATTGAAAGGAGATTTGGATCAGCTTTAAAAAGGCACTACCATTGCCAGGTGTGGTGGTATGTGCCTGAAATCCCAGCACAAGGGAGGCTGGGGCAGGAGGATCATAAATTTAAGCAAGATCTTATTTCAGAAAACCAGTAAATAAACAAATAGGTCAAGTGGGCCAGGACATGACTATAATCCTTGGTACAGTATCATGTCAGAGTTTCACAGATTTGATCCTAGCCTAGGCAACTTGGCAGCTGAGACTCTGTCTCAAAAATAAAAAAATAAATAAATAAATAAATAAATAAAAAATTTTTAAAAATCAGTTTTTCTTTTCTGGAAATAGGGTCTTGCTGTGTATTTCAGGTAGGGCTTGGAAACCTATGTAGCCTCAAGGCCTTGAACTTGAGGCAGTCCCATTGCCTTGTCCTCCCCAGTGCTGGGACTATAGACACGCTACATCACATATAGGTTAAAAAATTTTTTTTAAAGTCTCAGCATGTAGCACAATGTGGAAATTCTGGGATCAATCCCCAGTACTACAAAATAAAATAAAATAAAACAAAAGCCTGAAAGATAAAGCTGGCAAGACACCATAAAAAATCATCAAGAAAACTATTGGAAAGGTAGATTAATATTCATTGTTATCAATAGGATGCTTTAAGTGTATATGGGAATACTCACTAACAAATGCTTGCAAATACACACAGTTTGTAAGTACACAGGCTAACACAAGGAAACGGCGAGGCTTCTGGCAAGTTTGGAAACCCTTGCTGTAATCTAGAGAACACATTCTGCCAGGTGAACCCGATCCCTGGCACAGAGCCAGCGGGTGCAGTGCTGTCACGCTTTACTGAGCAGGCTGTGCCGTGAGCAGTGCTGGGGACACTGCGCTCCATGCCTCCAGCCCTTCCTGGCTCCATCCTTGTCCATTTCGGGTTGAACAGATCAAGCCGTTGGTCGCGCACGCTCTGCACGTTGAGCTTTCCTTGAACCTCTTGTGCGGACTCTGACGTCTCGCTCTTCCTTCCCGTGCCCCCCTCGCCTGTGCCCACCTCCTGCAGACAGCGGGAAGCTTCCCTTCATGGCCATGCTTCGGAACCTGCGCAACCTGCTGCGGGTGGGAATCAGCGCCCACCACCACGAGCTCGTCCTCCAGCGGCTCCAGGACGCGGTACGCCACCAACTGCCCGAGCCCGAGTCTGCCACGGAGGAAGTGGGGCTCCTTCGGGTGCTCTCTCTGCTGAAAACAGGGCCCCACTAGGGAGCTCGGACTGCCCTTGAACTCCCCTCAGCCTCCCGGTCCTGGGATGGCAGGCGTGCCCCACCTCGCCTGGTTCTTTACTCCTCCTCTTCACTCTACTCTGCCATGCCCATTTCTGCTTCCATCTGTTCTGTGTATCTCCCCTGACTCCATAGGCTGCTTCCTTCCCTTCCCACAGCCCTAACCGAGTAGGGACCTTTGTGGTCCCTGCCCTGGGAGCCCCACCCTCCCTGAAGGTCCCTGCCCTGGGAGCCCCACCCTGGGAGCCCCTGGCGCCGGGCTCACGACCCTCCCTTGTGCTGCAGAAGTCGGTGATCCACAGTCGGCAGTTGCCCTTCAGATTCCTTAATGCCCACGATGCCCTCGATCACCTCGCGGGTCAGCTCCGCAATCAAGGTATTATCTCCCGTCTTCCACCCTGTCTGCCTCTCCTGTGTGAACGAGCAGGCCCTGCTGACTGATGTTTAGCCTCTTGCCTTTCAGATTCAGGGCATAGACTGGGCAGAGGCCAGGCTCAGAACACATCACTGGCGGGATGTGATGTGGGAGCAGGAGATGGCTGACTCGGTGTGTGTCTGTCTCCCCACAGCGCTGCCCTTTCCTTCAAATACAAAGCTGCTGAGGCAGATATTGATTAGAAACTCTAAATGTATAACGAAGTATCCACGGTATGTTTTGAGCCTGAGTCGCCAGAAGCTCCGAGCAGCAATGATGATCCCTGTGATATATGAGCAGCTCAAGAGGGAGAAGCTGAAAGTGCACAAGGCCAGGTGAGTGTTCATCACCCCGGGGCCATGCCCGGTTACAGCAGGTGTGCTCGTGGGCCGGGAGCTCTGAATACTTTTCTGTGTGGACACGCTTGTCAGTCACCCAGGAACACACTCCTGCTCGGCTCCCGCCGTCCTTGCACCACCAGTGCTGTCTTCTGACACTGTCCTGGAGGTTGTGCACCCAGCTGTGCCTCGGCCTCCGCCCTGCCACTGTGATCGCCTTCTTGGTGCCCTGGGGTCCTGTGTGTGCGTCAGCTCCCCGTCCTGCTGCCCGCTGTGTGCTCTCCACTCAGCTGACCCGTGGCTTCCTTTCTCTTCTTCTCTGGGACATCTGTGTTTCTCTTACTGTTTGTCTCTTGCTGTATTTCTGACCTGTTCACCTTTTTTCTTCTCACACGCGTGCAGGTAGTTATCACAGGCAGGCTCCAAGAAAGACATGTAGTCTGTTCTATGAGCTGATACAGCTTGAAGCTCTGAGTTCTTTCAAGTGCTTCAATGTAGCCTACACCCATTTTCACCTAAGATGAACAGAGGACTCACCGAACATTCTCATGGGACTCAGTGCTCAGGAATTCTCTGTCTGTCTGTCTGTCTGTCTGTCTGTCTGTCT